GGAGGAGCGCTAGGGCCTGGTGATGCTGTATTGCTATTAATTTTGTCGTATATGTTTCTGCTTTGACGTCTGCCCATCTCCTTGTGGTTCATTCTTGGCCTTATCCGCACACTTGAATCAGACAGAGCTGACAGATTCAGGAAGTCTCTCTCTCTTGTCCAGATGGAAGCTCTCTTGTCCAAATTGGAAGTCCGGGGCAGGATGGGAGCTCTTCTCTCTCTCTCTCTCTCTCTCTCTCTCTCTCTCTCTCTCTCTCTCTCTCTCTCTCTCTCTCTCTCTCTCTCTCCAGACTTCCCTGCTGGAGCAGGATGGGATGTGGGGGCCGGCCTCTAAGTCTCAGGAAGAGGCTTGGGGCTCGGGCGGATGGGCGTGGGGGCAGGGCGTGGAGACTGCAGGGTCTGCCAGGGGTCTTGGAGAAGGGGATCCTTCCCAGTGGGGCTAGAAGGGAACCTGCCCGGTGGCCAGAACCTGGGCCAAGTTGGGCAGGTCTTCCCCGGAGTGGCTGGTGCCCAGGGATGGGGTCCGGGGCAAGCTAGGGCCCCACTCACCTGTGCTCCAAAAGGGAAGTCCGGGGCCTCTTTAATTCTTTTAAATAAAAATTGAAATTCTTTTTGCCCCACCCCCACCCCTTTCTAATGTTCTTATCTTTCTTTTGCAAGACTGAATCTCATAATTTTATTTTACTACAAGGGAAGAATTCTTGATACCAAGAGGGAGTCTTTGAATGGGAATTTGAATTCTTATATAGAGTTTGACTGAAATCACACTTTAAGGCTAGGTCTTGGTTTGGTCAGGGTAACATGCTGCATGTTTGTCTCTGTTATACTTTATTTCTTCAAATGGTTTTGATAATTGTGTGTGTTAAGAATATGTTACACCAAAAAATAAGAAGTCAAGGCCTCATCAGTTCAGAGAAATTTTAGTAAAATATAATGGTTATATTAATAACAAAATCAAAGACATGTTATGATAAGGTGATATGATTTCAGTGAAAGTACTTTGTAGACACTTTTGATTGGCCCTAGTAGATAGCAGTTTGGCAAATACCAAAAAATCAAATTTAATTTAATTTTTTGAGTAATCCAGCTTTTCATGTTAAATCAATTAACATTAGAAACAATAAATATTGTCACTATACTTTGTTATTATTTTCTATATACCGCAAATGTTTTGTCTTTGTGAAGAGTCAAACTCTGGTAATTCTTGAAGTATTATCCTTTTACATTATGGGTATCAGAAATAAATTTTGAGCTATTAGGATATAATGTGATTAAAAATAAAACAGAAATATATAAGAATAAAAAGTGGCTTCAAAACCTAACATAACACCATGAGCTTTAATCACTTGATGATGATGTTGATTGTCTTTTCAGTGGGAATTGCATTGAAACTTTGACACATTAATTCTCAAGAGTTCAGTCCTAGGAAAAACATTTAAATTTATGATATGGGTTTTAATTTGATGCAATTAGTGATTTAAAATAGTTTATCCTAATGGAGCTAAAGAACACCAAGTTAATCTTTCCTTGAACGTTCTAAAATAAAACTTAATCACTGTTGTTGTGATGGCTACTTTCAAAGTATGCTGTGTGGATTACTTCTTACACTTAAAACAATTTTTAACTATTGTAAGTGTTGCATATCTATTATTATTACTATATTTTTATGATAATACCAGTCATCAAACTCAAAGAAATTGTTTTTGGAATTATGAATGCTGTCATTGTTTTGGAATTAAGAAATTGTTGAAATTCTCTCATCTGTGACTTGAACTGCCTCAGAAACAAATTAGGAGTTGGACTCTTACATTACCATTGAAATAGATCATTAACCTCATTGTAATAGTTAACAGAGCTGCCTTTGGCCATTGGTGGGATGGAGTTCCCTTTTATCTACCTACCTTAACTATCTTCTCTATTTATGATGACATGACCTAGGGTGTTTATTCTGTCCAACACAATATAAGGGCTATGGATAATTTGACTGTAACAAGGTGTCTTGATATGAAACCTAATTAAAACAGAACTATCAACATGTTTGCTTGCCTGACTTTTAGGACATGGACCACTAATTCCTTTATTTGCCTTGATGCTTATGGAGATTAAGAAGCTAATTGGAAACAGTCTTATTGTTCTTGCCTTTCTTGACTCTATCGTCCCTTCTTTCTACTTCACTCATCTTATAGCTTCCTTTTCAACTTCCTCATTTGACTCTAAGACTACTTCTCTTTACAAAACTGAAAAAGGAGAAAAGCTAATATTAACACTGGGACTAATGTGTTCACACCTATGTGTTATTCCTCTTCACAGAACACAGTTTAGGGCCTTTTATCTCTAACTGTGAAGCAATGTGTTTTTTACAGTCAAGAGAATTTCAGGCAATGGAGAATAAGTGCTAGCAAGCATTATTTTCTTTATTTTTGGAGAGATATGTCTAAGAAGATTATTTTCCTGCTTGTCTTGAAGGCTTGTCTTGAAGTAATATAGCTTTCAGATACTACATACAGAAATGTTAAAGCAGGAGAGATGACAGAGTGTATGGATGGACTCATTTTAATTTTTCAATATGGGTTCAATGACTGTTCTTTCTATTTCCCTCTTCTTTTCTTAAAACTCTGCCCCTTAATCTGCTTTACATATCAACATCTGGGATAGTATACATTATTTCTGGAATTCTTATACCTGTTGCCAATAGAAACTGCTAGAGACTTTTTCATTTCTCCCAGAACCTAGCACTGGATTCAAGGAGCATCTGTTCAAAGGATCACAAAGAAGATAGACCCTCTTGTTATGGAGTAAAATAACCTCTCAGCCACAAGTGTTTCATCTTTAAATATTTATTCTATGCTTTAATTTATACCTTCCCTCATTCATGTATTTATTCATAGAGACCATTTGTGTTGGGAAAATGAATAGTAAAATAATTTATTCATGCTATGTGATAAATCTTTTTCTCTCTACTGTCATCATCATCCCTTACTGAGATATTTTGATCTGGTTTCCAGGCTTCTATTTAATGTTTCTGAGTCCTGACTTTTTATCATAGAAAAATGATTTAAAAATTACTGGAAGCCAGTGGTTCTTAAATATTAGTATGCATTAGAATTACCTTGTAGGTATATATGGATACACACACACACACACACACACACACACACACACACACACACACACACACACAAACACACACACACTTATAAAAGACAATGCATTAGACAGGCTTATATGATCAGAAGCTGAATAGTCTGATAGTGGCTGGTTACACACTGTAGTTAAACCAGTTGCTGTCCAGTCTAAGAAGCTGGAAGCTACAGAAAATTGGGACCAGTGAAGTCTCCAGTGCGAGATTAGAGGTCTGGAAGCCCTCTTAGAGAGTCTACAGTGTAAGTTTGAGTTTAACAGTTGATGAATCTGTGGGACTCCTAACAATATAGGCAGTGGGGGATTTCCTACAACAAATACATCATACTAGATACCAAAGGTACAGGAAAAGCAAAAGAAGTAAGGCTTTTAAGCTCCCTCACGCTCCATGCTGAAATGTTGACTGATTTGATCTTGTATAAGTCTGTTAAGAAGCTGCTGTGAGTTCATGAGTGTAGTATTCCTGTCATGTCCAGAAGCCAACCTCTGTTTTTTACAATTTTTCTTCCCCCTCTTTTGCAATGATTCCCTACATCTTTGGGTGGGGGTGATGTAGATGTCCCATTTCTGGCATATAACTGACAATTATTCTCTGTACTTTGACCAGTTGTGAGTTTCCACTGAACAAAGAAACTTCACTAATGTGATTTGGGAGTTTCACTATTCCATGTGTATACAAATACAAATTTAGAGGTTAGTTTGATACTTCCTCCATTCTGCAGAATAATAGTAGTAGATTCATGTCTGTGGCCTATGGTTTCCCCAGCCCTGAGTTCTTAGCCAGATTTACAGTACCAGGCATGACTTTCCTCTCATGAGGCATGCTTTAAATTCAAGAAGAAAGCAGTTCTTTAATCTTTAACTTTCATGCCACTACTGCACATATGGTCATGTCTTGCTATGCTGACTGTCATTGTAGCCTACTGGGTTCATAAATGAGTAGCTCACAGGGTTCACAACTGGGTAAGACTCTTAATGACTTTTCCTCCCAGCAGCCTGCATTGCAACTTTTGGTACTATGAAAGCTAGCAAAAAGATAGGAAGCTTCCTGGTCAGTACCAACCTGATTTTACCATGTCTAATGAACAAAGTATATGATGTGTTCAGCAATAGATATTAATATCAGTTTATAGTGGTTTACCATGAACAATGGGAATAGCCTCTATTTTTTGGGTGATCTCCAGAACAACTTTTACATAAATCTGGAGGCTTATGTAAAAGCACTGGGTTTTTAATTGACAAAATATGGCTTCTGAGAGGAGCATTGTCTCCTGTGTAGGGAAACTCCAGATAATCTTTTTTATGAATATAATATGTGTGTATAAATATATATATATTAAAATCTCATAAAAATAGGTTTCCATATGATGTTTTCAAATATCCTTACTGTTAGTTATATCTCCCTCAACTCCCACCTCTGCCCCATCCTACAATCCCTCTATTCACCTAAACCTCTCTTACCCCTTCATATCACTGTTTTAATCTCTAGAAAGCCTACAAACTAGTAGATGTGCATTTGGTGTTCTCAACATCCTCAATTATTTTTCTCCCCACCCAATCCTCACATCCTTCCCACCACTTAAAGCTCTCTCCCCATTATTCCCCTCTTCTCCTTCATATCATATGGATTTTACTACAGCCCCAAGAATTTTCTAATGAACAGTTGCCTGCAGATCTAGTCCTATACTGTTAATGTTAAAGGGAATAGTGGGTTATACATATCAGAGTTATGTTTAAAGAATCAGTTATTTTATCGGTGGTTATCCTGAAAGCATAGACTGTATGTACTTGGTGTAGATATAAGTGCATCTACAAATGTTTTCAAAATTCCTCCATGTGCTAATTTTATTTTCTTCTTAGTTATAGGGATACAGAAAAGAATTTCCACAATATCTCTAACAGATGCTCCTATGCAGACCATTCCAACAAAGAGGAAATTGAAGATGTCTCAGGAATTCTTCAGTGTACTGCTAATGTACTCGGTATATTAATTATATATTTATATAATTGACATAATATAAGTGGAATGGGAAGGAAAGGTATCAGTGTATCATTTCTATTTGGAGATTGTGGGAATTGGAGACTGAGAACTTGTCTTTAAGTATTTAGTTTTACATCCATGAACATGTTTAAATGGGAATTACAAACAAGCCAATTACTTGTAAATTCAAGAACATTACAGCAAATTCTTACATTCTGGGGAAATGTTTTAAAATATTTCTATGATGTTGGTATTAGCCTGACATAATCCATGTTACTCTACATCTTACCTTCACCTGAAATGTAAGATCTTTTTTTTCTTCTCAAGCTCATACTTTCTTATTTCTGGGATTCCCTTGTTGTAACATATCACTAAAGCTTGTCATCTACAGGGTGCTGTGCTTGGGCTTAGGCCTAGAGTGTGCAGATTGAAGATACTAATATTTACCTTCATGACTGGATATTCCCAACATGGGTAAATGTACTGGTATAAGTGGAACTATGCACACCATTCTACAATTGAACTGACTTCTAGGAAAGTATGAAGATGTGGGTGTGCAAGAGCACTCTGTATAGCTGATGTCACAGCAGCAATCTGTTTAGCCCTAATTTCTTACAGAAGTTATTTAAAATTATCTCCTAATTTCATTTTGCTTACTGGTTTTGAAATGAACTTAATTCAGTTTTTGGGGGGATCCCTATATTTCTTTATGCCTTGGAAAAGAATGAATGGTACTTTGGAAGACCAGCAACGCCTTCATTTTGTGTTGATTCTATCACCTCTTGCACTGAAGGCCTGAAAAATAGTTACTTACCAAAGCCTGGTTCTTGGCCCTCTATGAATGTGAAAAAAATATTCACACATAACATTTTTTCATTTGTGCCCACTATTTGTCACAAGGTTTGCAAAGCAGAAATACTGACTACACCATGCTTCTTGGTTTCTGTTCACATCATGTTGGGGTCCTGATAATCACTGTGACAGCACAGCAGAATTCCTCTCAAGAGGTCCTTATAAGAAGAGATGATAGGTGTGAATGGTGCCTTCCCTACTTGTGACTTTAAGTGTTAAATGACTTCATTATTTGGATCATAATATCTGTTGCATTGTGATATGGTCTAATTTTAGTTGTCCAAAAAATATCTACCTTTTAAAACAATGGTATGGAAAACCTATTTCTAGTTTGCATTAATGCTAAAAACATGCATATAGTCTTACAAAACAGGACATTTTTTTTTTTTGTATTTTACTGTAAATTATACTGGTTTAGTGGTGTAGTGAAGCTTGTATCATAAGGGCCTGAACATTGTTTTGAACATGTTGTCCCTTGGTAGCATGGCTTGGATTTGGCTAGTGCTATAAGGAGGGAGACAAAATGAATGCAGAGAATTAAGGGAGAGAGATGACAAGCTGTCTTATCCTCTTTGCTATAATGAGTTAAATATCAGTGTAGTTAGGACATTTTGATTTTTTAAATAGTTTTGATTCTATTAATAAATAGAATGGGGTTTGTTGGTATTTCAATTGCAAAGATTTAGTTGTAGGAACTGAGAGATGCTTTCTGAGAAAGACATCCACAGTAGGTCAAGAAGCAGACAAATATGAGTGTTGTACATCAACTCATTTGCTGATGAATTATATAAAGTTTGCTACTTCAGCATCAGTTATTGGCTAAATATCACACAAAACAGTTTCATACCGCCCTTGTTAAGAATCATCTCTCACAGCAATCAGGAAGTGCAGGAGTTGTGGATAGGACATTCATCAACATTTTCTGTGTTTTAAAGGTCTCTGTCAGAGTGGTGTGCTGGTTCAAAAATTTTAAAGTCTGGCTGAGAGTCTTGTCCAGGGATTGTTTTACTTTGGAAGTGCTAGTGAGGAGGATGGAGGAAATGATCTCAGGGCCTATTCTTCACAGTATTTTCTTGTATCAGAAGTCCTGAAATACTGTATAATCAGAGCCTTTTAGAAATTGCTGCAGATTCCAGAATTTTTATGATATGATGTTTTTATGTTGTTGACTTTTAAAAAATAATCAGTTATTGTTTATTTCAACCTGTATGTGCAATTTGTTTCATTATGATTTAAAATGTCTTTTTGGAAATCATTAATTGATGAAAAAAGTGATAAATTATCCCTTTATTATAACTTTTTTCTTGGAATAACACTGCTATATAATTAATAAGTGACATTATTTACTGGACTAGTATTTCACATGTTTAGCATCTTATGGAACTAGTTGGTAAAATAACAACTTACTACTTTCATTGGTGAAGTAAGATTGACAGCCACAAATAAATTCTATCCATATAGTTCTTGTCACTCTAACTTAATAAATTCTTGGGTTTTTCTTTCTTAAAAGTATTTTGAGTATTAATGAGATGAATTTGAATTAAAGTGGTTGGAGGGGTGTGGTGGTTTGAATGACAGTGGCCCTATAGGATAATAGATTTGAATGCTTGGTCACCAGGGAGTGGCACTATTTGAAACAATTAGAGTGTAAGGCCTTGTTGGGGGAAGTATGCCTCTATGAGTGAACTTTGACATTTCAAAGACCCTGGCTAAGCCCAGATTCTTTCTTTCAGTGGATGTCCTGATCCACTGATCAGGATATCGCTCTCTGATACTTCTCCAGCATCCTGTGTGCTGCCATGCTTCTAGCGATGATGATAATAGATTAACCTTCTGAAACTGTAACCAAGTTCTGATTAAATGCTTTCTTTATAAGCATTGCCATGGTCATGGTGCTTCTTCACAGCAATAGAACAATTATCAAGACAGGAAGTGATTGACTCACAGTTCTATTGCAGTGCATTGCAATGTAAAGATTTTAAAGCAAGGACTAGCTAGGGCTAGGCTAGGCTAGGAAGAACTTAACAACTTACTATCTATCTGACTGGAATCACTTATTCCATGTAGTCATGCCTTAGATTTCTCATTTGTAAATTGGAGATAATGTAATTATGCACCTCCTTTTTTAGAATTGCTAGGAAGCTTAAAATAGGTTAATTTATATAAAGTACTTACTAATAACCTGACATGTAACAGCAATACCACATTGTTGTTTGTTGTTATTATTATTGAATATCCTTAAAATGATCTTTTCAGTCGACCTGAAGGTCATATTTGTTCACTTGGTTAATAGGTGAGGAAACTGATTTTTGTTAACTTGTTAATCTTTGGTCTAACTCTGAACAAACAAGCTTTCCAAGGGCACTGTTTAAATCTGGATCATTCTGATCCCAAATACCACATTCAATACATTGCTTTTCTCTCAGTTACTGGACTGAAAGCCTCATTCAGTCTCTCTAATGCTGATTATGCTAACTATGTATCACCTCTCTAATCTTGTGAATGATCAATGTTGTTATGATGTTACATTTTACTTAATTCATCATTTTGTTGTTGGTTTGCAACACTGGGGATTGAACCAAAAGCATCATGTAGACAAGAACTTCACCACTGACCTCTGTCCCCAGCCCTAATTTCATTTTTATTTTTATTCAGGAGTTTCACTAAGTTGCCAAAGTAGGTCTTGAAGTTATTGTGTAGCTAAACCATGTTGGAAAATATTATTTTAAGATGTGTTACTTTTGTTTATGTTGCATTTGTTTAAAACTCTGTGAAGCTGTGTTACTGTGCCTGTCTAAAACACCTGATGGTCTAATAAAGAGCTGAATGTCCAATAGCAAGGCAGGAGAAAGGATAGGCAGGGCTGGCAGGCAGAGAGAATATATAGCAGGAGAAATCTGGAAGGAAGAAGAAGAATGAGAGAGGAAGGAGGAGGACATCAGGGGCCAGCCACCCAGCCACCCAACCACCCAGCTACACAGCCAGACACAGAGTAAGAAGGAAAGAAAAGGTATACAGAAATAAGAAAGGTAAAATCCCAGAGACAAAATATAGATGGGATAATTTAAGTTAAGGAAATCTGGCTAGCAACAAGCCAAGCTAAAGCAGGGCATTTATAATTAAGAATAAGCCTTTGTGCGTGATTTATTTGGGAGCTGGGTGGTGGGCCCCCCAAAAGACCAAAGATCAATCAACAACAAAACTAGGCTTTGAAGATTGTGATCTTCCTACATTAAGCATCCCAAACAGATCTGTTTTGGGAGGCATCCAGGCAGTGGGACTGGGTCTTGTACTCAGTGCATGAGTTGCCTGTTTGAAACCTGGGGCTTATACAGGGACACTTAGCTCAGCCTGGGAGGAGGGGACTGGACCTGCCTGGACTGAATCTACCAAGTTGAACTCAATCCTCAAGGGAGTCTTTGCCCTGGAGGAGATTGGAATGGGGGGTGGGCTGGGGGGGAAGGTGGGGGGAGGGGGAAGAACAAGGGAATCCATGGCTGATATGTAAAATTAAATTAAATTATAAAATAAAATGAAATAAAATAAAAAAGCATCCCAAGTAGCTATGACAATAGGCTTGCACTCATGGCCCAGCTTTGCTGCTCTTTCAAATTGAACTTGGGAGAGTTGCTTGTATGTAGCAAGTAGTATCAAAACTAAGACTATTTGTCATCAGTATTGAAGATTTTGCAGCTTTAGTGTGATTTGGATCATTTCCAGTCTAGCAACACAATGAGTTTTCTTTATCTTTTAGGTGCTAGAGATGCAAATTTAGGGTGGCAGTGTTTGCCTTCATGACATAAATGTGACTTCACACTTATGATGTGATAAACACAGTGCTGAAACTTTTGGCCTGAAGTTTTCAAGTAGATCTTATTGTGTTAAACATGGATTCGTATGTTAAACGTTATTGGGCTGGTAAAAGGCTACATAAGACTGTGCTTCTTTTTTTCCACAAAAGGAATATTTTTATTAATTCTATGATGAGTTGACACATGTAAATGATGTATCTTGATCATATCCACTCTCAACTCCTCTTTCCCATTCATCCCAGGTACCACTAACACATCCTCCTCCTCACTTCATGTCCTTCCTTTTTTAAAATTTATTTTTGTGTCTTACTGAGTTCATTTAGTGCTGACTGTTGGA